AACTGGAGATGCGATGCAAAGCCATCCAAGACTTGGCCAAAATAAAACCAAGCTCTTCTAATCACATTCCGCACATCAATTATCACCATTTATTTAATTTAAACACTAGGATTGGGAGTGGAACTTTCGGATATGTGCACTTGTATCGCTATCGAAATGATAATGTAGCCGTGAAGGTGTTTTAAAAAAATTTGAGGGCCTCAGTGATGAAAAGCTAAGAGCAACGGTATTCCGAGAAGCAAAAATTATGCTTTCTGTTACCCCTCATCCAAACATAGTAAAATTGTTAGGATATACGTTTGTTCCTACAGCCAATAGGGATCTAGGTAATACCAAATTAAACACATATGCTAACCACTTAAAAGTACTAAAAGTGGTACGCATTATAGTGTGCTACCTAAATCGCGTGTTACCCATTTGAAACAATGTGCTACCCATTTGAAAAATTAACTCATAATCGTAACAAAATTCCTAGGCCTTTATTATGAATAATTCATAAATTGATAAATACAAATAATATGTACTTGATCTTCACTTCTGAATCTGTAAGAAAAAAAAAAGAACACGGTAATATTATATTCAAATTACTTGTAATATAACAAATGTAAAAAACTTAAAACACTGAATCATACTAAAAAAAAAAAAGAATATTAGGCATCGTAAAAAAAAGACAAAATAAATAAAATTAATACCCATGTTGATGTTTGCAGTGAATAAGCCCACAACATACCCATTCATTCAGAATGAGTGTGCACGTCTTATTCAGAATGAGTGTGCACGTCTTGAAAAAAAAGGTTATAACACACAAAAGAAAGCAAACATAAAGGCTATAGCAACAACAAAGTTAATTTTTTATTATGATGATCAATGACTAAATTAAAATGAAAAGTAAGTGGACATTCAAAAAAAGCACCATCTCGCTAAAATAAAGCCGAACAACTCCTACCACTGAAACCATGGCACATGTTTGTATGCTGAACAAGGCAGTCGGCTCCTCCTTGCGAAGCAGCAGCGCGTATACATTCCTGAAGGCGGCGTTCAAAGAATCAGATCAGACACTAGCACGTCTACATTCCTGAGATGTTGGCGGCGTTTAAAGATGTGACTGACCTTGTGTCTGCTTTCCCCATGTTTCTCCCTATCGTGGGAACCTACTTGTGTGGGAACGTTTCTCACTGAATTCACTGTTACTTGGCAATTTGCAGTAATTTCCTCAAAGCAGTCATCATCCAAGGATGGCCGGACAAGACCTATTTCAAACAGTTTTCTTCCGTTCATGAAAAAGTAACAGTATAATTATTCAAGTTTGTGTATTAGGCCTAGGCAGTATTATTCCTGAATAATAATAATAATAATATGTAGTAGGCCAGGGTTGCATATCATCACATTAAAAGTTTGTTGCACTAGCTTAGGCTGTAGCAGGCCTACACACTAGGTAGGTCTAGGCCTACTGTTTGTATTACTGTGTAGGAGGCCGTTGGCGTTATATGTAAGTATTTTCCCTTTACTATTTCTTATC